ACTTTTTCATGCTCGTGTATCGTTAGATCGTTTCGCAAACGTTTCTATGTGTGTACATACGTGTATATCGATGTGGAATTTTATGAACAGCGCGAAGCAGCGAGACGTAACGAGTATTACACGATGCCGCGGCTAGAAAAATTCATTATGAATGCACACGGTGGATGAGATGTGTAGATGTAGACGAGGATGCAATTATTTTCCATTATTATCGGCGTGATGATATACGATGAATTATTATTCAAGTATGTCCGTCGATACTGTACAAATTTCTGTATAAACTCACCAGAGACTTGATATTTTCTTCAGACGGGAGACATGCGTCCGCGTGCTTTTTAAGCGGAAGTGTGTACACAGTATTCCTGATAGACTAAATATATATATAGTATATATTAACTATTATATATATATATATATATATATATATATATATATATATATATATATATATATATATATATATATATAACTATTATACATATATGTATAATAGTTCGCACGAAAGCCGCTCAGGCAGAAATAGGGGGTCGTTGTCCATGATATGACGCACGATCGTGTGTTAGGTTTGTTAGAACAATGTCAACGCGCGCCGCGTGGCGGTGACGATATGGCGGTAGCGGCGGTAGTGACGGTAATGGTGGTTACGTCGATAATTTTACTATTGTGATTAGTTTGCGTCGAATGACTCATTTGAATCGATACGCACCGCTCGTTTAAAGTGTTGATCCTTGAAGCGCCGGCTTTTCTCTCCTCGCTCTTCTTTCTTCTCCCTTCTTTCTTCTCTCTGCTCTATCCTCTCTCTCTTCTCTTTCTTCTCTTCTCTGCTCACCCCCCACTCTATTTTCTCGTCCCTCTTCCACTCGGTCTCGTGCGAGCCGCTCTGCTCCCGTTGCACACAAATTGTAATTGCGACAATTGCACACGCCGCGCATAGAGGTTAATGTCAACTATCGTAGCATGAGTCATAGACAGGTCGACGGGCAATGTGCATCGTTCCGGGTGTTATAGCATTCGAAGGGTATAGCCATGGTCGAATCTACTACTCCCTAAGCGAAATGACGTTTTGTTTAGATCGTTCGATGGATCGTTCGCAGAACAGATATCATGCTATTTACTTCTTCTGTGCTGTGTGAAGAGAACAAAATCATGGAAATATTCACGAATCTTCTGTCTAACAGGGCACACGACGCTCTGAATTTCCTCGGAATCCAAAGTTGGAAAATCAATTTTTGCAAAAAGTCTGGAAACTGAAATGTGCTGATTTTATATTGAATTTATCGTGGCATCACATTTGTATTTCCACGACAGTCTGTCTCTTATTACAGTTATTAATGTGCACTTTATTTCTTATTATTTATTACGCATTTTTTAAACTGCTTTCGCGAGATACTAATTTTGTATTAATCTCGTAGCGAGACTTCTATTTTCTGAAAAATAGAAAATCGAACTTCGAGACGATTCTTTACTTTCGCGCGGACATACAACGCATTCCTGCATTCGTTAAAACAACGTAAAAACTTAGAAGTTCGAACCGAAACGATTGCGTGGTTCGTTGTCGATCGGATTTAACTTGATTGGATTCTGTCTTTCAAAAATTCGATTCTACGTAGAAGTATTCTCACCCTGTGCCTTTGTTCCAAAAATCAACGATGATTTCATTTGGCCTTGCATGGAATGAGTAACCGTTCCGTTGTCCGAACTTTCGTGTTCTCCCGATAAGCCCGAATAATCTCGGGGCTCTATCATAATTCAAATGTTTGGTAGTGCACTAATCGCCGCGAACGCATCGAGTGCCTTTTGTCTGTCTCGCGTTCTCTTGTTTGTTTGGGTTTCGGGGTATCGCGGATGATTCAGGGCTGATTCACCTAACGTTTCGACATTTCACTGGAACGTGTCCACTCGGCGAATCATCACCGGATACGAGTTTACACGCTTCCGAGGCGGGCAGGGCTTCCGAGCGATGCGACCAACAAGCTTTCGAATTTGTCGGACTCGTGACAATTTCCAAGGCGAAGTTTCGCCGGTACGGAAACGCGGCTCCGAATCTCGCGCCTAATCCGGCCAATTAATACTTAGTCGTAGCTTACGCGTAATCCGACGCGCGTAGGTCAGACTCATTATGCTTAATACACCTAATTATCGGTGCCGACGGTCCCTCCGACTCGACGATGGGCGGGCGACCTTCTTTACAGCCGCGTTGCGCGGTCGCTTGATTCGCAAGCAACCAAAAAGATTGTCAAAAAAATTCAGAAAATCCACAGTCTAATAATAATAATAACAACATACAGTAATTGACGCTCAGAACTGACACTGATCTCCCTAACTGACGCTCAGATTGTGCAGAAAAATGAACAATTTTGGAAGAGGAGATACGTTTAGTCGAGGCTTGCAGCTCGTTTTTATAATTGTTGAAAATGGGTAACTATAAAAACGAGTCGCAAGGCTCGACTGATCGTATCTGCTCTTCCTAAATTGTCCAAGCTGAGCGTCAATTAGGAAGAATTTATTGTACAGTAATCTCCCTAATTCGCGCTCACATTGTGCACAAAAATGGACAATTTGGGAAGTGGACAATTTTGGGAAGTCTTGTTTTTATGATCGTTGGCAATCGGTAACCATAAAAATGAATCGCAAGGCTCGAATAATCGTATCTCCTCTTTCCAAATCGTTCATTTTTGTGGACAATCTGAGCGTCGATCAGAGAGACATTACTGTAGTCGGTCGATCGGGAAAAACGTCCGCGAACAACGGAAGTTTTTGATTTTAGCTTCGCATCGTCGTTTTTATGGTGTTCGACAGCAAACCTAACCGCAGCAAGTTGTATACGGCGCGGAGGTGCGAAGGCGCGCGGATACGTTTTACACGCGGTTCTCCCGTTTTCTTACTTATTATAAATCGAAGCGATTAGAATTCGCCAACAGCGCGGGATTGTTCCAGATTGCTCGATACGACTGAATTCCACGGACGAGAAAGGGTCGTGGAAACGATAAAAAAAAAGAAACGAAAGCACGACGAACGAACAATTCGGACGCGTCTTCGCAGCCTTTACGACAGCAGCCGGTCGTCGTTCCGCGGAACGTGACCATCGAGTGGGCGACATTTTTCTAGATAATCGTTATCGCCAGACTGCGGATCTTACATTTATATATTCGTGAAAAGAGAAAAGAGAACCCGGGTTCGTCGAACGCCGAAGAACGCAGATCTATTCCAAGAGTTTCCAGATACAGTAACATGTCTCCCTAATTGACGCTCGCATTGTCCACAAAGATGGACAATTTGGGAAGTGGAGATACGATTATTCGAGTCTCGCGGCTCGTTTCTATAGTTATTGACAATCGGTGATCACAAGAAATCGAGTCGCAAGGCTCGAACAATCGCGTCTCTTCTCCCTAAATTGTCGATTTTAGCGCACAATTTCGGCGACAATTACGGAGACAATACCGCACACATTGTCGGATCGTGTTCGACCCGTTGAATAATTCGATCCAAAAGGAGGAACAAATTTTGCAGCCGGTTACACGTTTACGTTTCGTCGAAAGTATCCGCAGCCCGGTCGTCGTCGTCGTCGTCGTCGTCGTCGTTGTCGTCGTCGCATCTTTTACTCTCTCGACTCGCCCTCGTTTCGGAACGACGATCGCGCCGAAACCCGACCAATGGGGACAAACACCGACTGTTTCTCGAAGGAAGAGACCTTTAAATCCAGAACCGTCTGAACGGTATTCCGAGATACTTTGAAAAAGTTTCCGCCGTTTCACGTTCCAAGCACTCGGTTTCGTCCAGCAACTTCTACAGACTGAAAACACCGACGCGTTTTAATAGACTATTTCGGGGGTGGTCTCTTTCGGGATGCGGGGAGAGCATAGTTGCCTGGCCGTGCAGCTAGTCCAGAAAGGATCGTGCTAACTAAGCGTAGAATCGCGTAGAAGGGTGTGCTTCTGGCCGAGGGGGGGAGGGGCGGGGGGTTGTAGAACGAGGGTAGCCGGCCGGAAGCAGCACTGTGATCTGCTTTAGATGGGATTTCCGCAGGTGTACTTACGTGACCGCGAATCGTGAGTCGCGGCCACGTGCATACGTTCATTATAGCTTTAATCCGCGCGCTCTAAACCGGTGCAAATCAAACAGTCGACAAGATTACGCCGCTGCAATAATTCTAAGTTGGCTCCCCGGGGCGGCCGTTCTCTCGTATACACAACCGATCCGCGATCGTTTGTTTTATCTCTTTTCCTCTCTCTCTCTCTCTCTCTCTCTCTCTCTCTCTCTCTCTTTCTCTCTCTCTCTCTCTCTCTCCGTTTCTCGTTTCCGCGTAAATACAATAAAAACGGTTCGGGAGCAGTTGTTATATTTACAAGATTACGAGCGCGTTGAAGAAGATCCTTCTTAATCGTCTTGTACAGTGCGACGAACTCTCCGCGACGCGATGCTAAACGTGCAATGCATCGAGAGTCGTGCAGTAAATTCTCCCTAATCGTCGCCTAACATCGACACGGTTGTTCGCGCGGCACGTTTTTCTAGTTACCGATTTGACAACAACCATAAAAACGTGCCGCGCGCAAGACACGAATAAATCGTATTCTACTCTTCCGAAATCGTCCACATTCTCGTGCGCGATCCGAGCGTCGAATCGGCCAGAATTTATTGTATCTTCTCTATGTCCACTGTGCTAGTTTCGTTTATTTCCACGTCCTCGATTAAAGGCGAACGCGGTGCGACCACGTCGTTCCAGTGCAAATGGTTATTATAAGCCGTTCGAGAAAGCTCTGGAGATCCCAAGTCTGCGGCATCGAAGCCAGAAAAGAAGACCGTCGTCTACGCTTATCGTTTCGACGGCGAGCCAGACGAGAACGCGTCCCAGAATTCGAACGTTCTACCACGTTTCCCGCGTTGTTTTCGATCGGCGCCCATACGCCGAGGACCCTGGCGGTCGTCGGCAGCCCTGAAAATGTGCTAACCGGATCGATTATGACGTTCAGCCGCGCGAAACGGACGAGCGTGCTGAACTCTTTGTACTTTCGCTTTCGTTCGGATCCGCTTTGTTCCAGCCGTTGCCCGGCCAGGCACAACAAGCCCGAACAAAAGCGAAACGAAAGCAAAACCGAATTTCTTACAGTTCGAGGGAGAGCACGTAACCGGGTCGAATTAAGCGGCGCCGGTTCCATCGAACTTTTGATCTGCCGGGCGGTTTTTAGCGCTAGAACTTGCCGACCCGAGAAGCGATTCTACGAATGTCTCCCTAACTGACGCTCGGATTGCGCACAAAAATGGACAATTTGGGAAGAGGAGATACGATTGTTCGAGCCTTACGGCTCGTTTTTATAATTGTTGACAATTCGTCACTATAAATATGAGAACCGCAAGGATCGAATAATCGAATCTCCTCTCCCTAAATTGTCCATTTTTGTGGACAATCCGAGCGTCAATAGAGCGTCAATTGCACGATTTCCATCGCAAGGTGCATACGAACAAATAGTTCTAGCCGGTTGATTAGCCACGCGTTCGTCCTTACAGTCGCGGTAACTGTAACGTGAAGAATCCGAGACCCGCCATTTTGTCGGTGGTTCTAGCGTTAAGCGGTTCGCTGATGTCGAACACGTCGCGTCGCGTTGTTTCCAACAAAATCCCGGCATAGTTGACCGAATCCCGCTTACTCTTGTTAACCAGAGGAAACCGTATCGCGAACAGCCTCGCCACTTTCCTCGATCGTGGATCGCCGACTAAACCGACGCGAGGCGTTACCGCCGATTAATCCGGCCGGTGTTAGCTCGAAACGAGTTCGGGACGGGTTCTACGAACCGGGCAGAATCGAGTCAAGGGCCCTCGTTTGTCCGATACATTTTACCGTTGACCCTTCCTCTTTTGGTAGCCCGATACCGGCGAGGATAATAGATCCGGAGACAATCGTCTTTCTTCTTCGTCTTTTCATTTTAACGTTGTCCCGCCAGAAATTCCGATACAAAACACCTGCGAAGAAAATAGACGGATACGGTTCATATTCGAAGCAATTGTTAGCAACGATCTGTTAACGCGCGGAATCATAATCGCGTTGATTTCCTCCCGACACGACTCTACCCGACTCCGGGTCG